TTGTTCTCAAACACAGTACAGCCTTCCCATCGTCTATGGATTGGTGTCATGAGCTACTCTAAGATGTTAGCTGTCAGAACAGGAGCCTGGATTTCTTTAATTGGCTGGAAAGAAAAAGCTTACCAGTTTTCTGAAGGTTTCAGGTCTTGAGGCTTTTAAACACCATCTCTTTAGTTGGTTTAGTTAGTAAATAAAAATAAAAAGCAAGGGTTTTGTTTGTTTGTTTTTGTTTTGCCAGGCCCTGTTTCCTTGATGATGTGGTAAATATAAATTTTATGATCTAAGAATCATTCCCTAATGGTCATCTCTTCCTGTTCTGCACCAGGCATACTGCTTTGCCTAATAATCAACTTGTGCATCAGAGAGGTTCTAGTTTTGAAACCTTACCCAATCTTCTCTTTGGAATTTCCAGAAACTGGTTTAAGAGCCAGCTCTGACTGGAAAATAAACTGGAGAAATCCTCAACAGGAAGGGATTCAAAAACAGGCTATGCATTCTATGAAACAGATGGCTTCACTGGTGAATTCTACTAAACATTCAAAGATTTAATATCTATCCTACTTAAATTCTTTAAGGTCAATATTCCTGATGAACACAAATGCAAAAATCCTCAACAAACTATTAACCAAATTCAACAATACAGTAAAAGGATGATACACCACAATCAAGTGGGACTTACTCCAGGGATGCAAGGATGGTTCAACATTCGCAAATCAATCAATATGATACACCACATGGACAAAATGAAGATAAAAATTATATGATTATCTCAATAGATGCAGAAAAAGCATTTCACAAAATTCAGCATCCAATTATAAAAACTCTCAACAAAGTGGGTATAGAGGGAACGTACCTCAACATAATAAAGGTCATATATGACAAACCCACAGCTAACAGCATACTCAAAGGTAAAAAGCTAACAGCTTTTCCTCTAAAATCAGGAACAAAAGAAAGATACCCACTCTCAATAACATGGATGGACCTTGATGGTAATATGCTAAGTGAAATAAGTCAGAAAAAGAAAGACAAATACTGTATGATTTCACTTATATGTGGAATCTCAAAACAAAACAAAACTCACAGATACAGAGAATAGATCACTGGTTATCAGAGGGGAAGAGGGTTGGAGGGATGGGTGAAATGGGTCAAGGGGGTCAATTTTATGGTGTTCTATCATTTTTTAGTGTCTACAAAGACTGATTATGTTGTACACCTGAAGCTAATACAATGTTATATGCCAATTTTACCTAAAAACCCCCAAAAAATCTAAACAAAAAAGCTAACTATTGGTGGTGTGATCATGTGGTATTTGCTGCAATGCACACTGTTATTGCACTGAGGGTCAAAGGGCACATTCTACTTATATGATGGAGTGGGGCAGAGATCACTGACATGCTGTAACATATGCAACTTGCAGCAAATGTTGCCTTTTCCACCTCCCCGCCCCCACCCCCATCCCTAAGAATTCTGCACATGAATGTATATATGCTAAAGCACCTCCCTCTGCCATTGCTGTGTGTTCAATGAGCCTGGCTTTATGAACTCCAAGGATGACTTAAGGGAGTGAGGCTATGATATAAGGAGCCGTTTCACTGAATGAAGCAATGGAAGCACACAATATAACTACAGTTCCCATTATTCTGGAATTCAAGCAATCTAGAATCTCCACAAAGGTCTGAATTGTGCTTTGCTTTGAAATACTGCAAATGCAATTCTAAGGGATGGTTTGTAAAACAACAATCATTTAACCTGCCCCACCTTCCTAATTAACTCAGAAAGCCTTCTACAACAGAGGCATGGCACAGTCAGCTGAGCCTGGGGAGAGAGAAGGAACTGATGTGTCCATTTTTTTTGGAAAACATCATATATGAGGTTCTGATTGCTTTGGTCTTCCCTCGCATTTTCTGCTCAGCGTGCAACTTCTTGGATTCAGTAATTACAGCCAATAGCTACAGAGAAGGACAAAAGGTGCAGCGGCTTCAAAAGCATTCTAATTGCAATGGTGGCACAATCAAGGGACTTAAGTAGTTTACAATCAATGTGAATTACTCAATCTGCACACCGAAGTGCCCCAAAAGAACTAGGTCCAAATTCCACTTTTACCACTGATAACAAATTTGAATAGAACTTAAAGTGTAAAAAAAAAAAAATTTCATTCTCAACCTCAATTTCCTTATCTGCAAAATGGGTTTCACATTATCAACTTCATAGTCTGTAACCAAGAAAGATTAACTGGAATAACAGGTAAAGTACCTTCTATAATATTTGGCAGGTGTAGATATTTTCCTTACCCAATGGCAACTATTACTTCACACACATGATTTACTATATAGATAACCTAGTTAACATCAGGTACATTGCTGAGTACTGAGAATTATAAAAGTGCCTGTTACACTGTGGCTCTGTAACATAAGATAATCTTTCTCTTAAGACTAGACTTCGCATATCTGTGTTTGGGCAAAAACTAACAAATACATGTATCCATATCTATGAAAATTTTTATAAAATACTTAGTAACCTAAGAGTTTTTAGACATGTTAGAGAAAGCAGTTCTTTGAAGCTCATATATACTCATGGGTTGGAGGAAAGTCTTCCAGTGATGTTTCTATTTTTTCAAGACCTAGGCTTATAGCAGCTAGATTTGAAAAGTATAGTAGGCTCCCTTATCCATGGTTTTGCTTTCCGTGGTTTCAGTTACCCATCAACCTAGGTCTGAAAACAGTATGTGGAAAATTCCAGAAATAAACAATCCTTAAGTTTTAAATCATGCACCATTCTGAGTAGCCTCGATGAAACCTCGCACCATCCTACTGTCCCAACCGGATGTGAATCATCCCTTTGCCCAGCATCTCCACGCTGTGTATGCTTCCTGCCTGTTAGTCACTAAGCAGCCATCTCCGTGATCAGATCAGCTGTTGCAGTATCAGTGTTTGTGTTCCAGTAACCCCTATTTTACTTACTAATGGCAGCAAAGCACAAGAGTAATGATGCTGGTGATTCAGATATGCCAAAAAGAAGCCATAGCACTTCCTTTAAGTGAAAAGGTTATGTATGGGAAAAAAACATAGTTTAGGGGCCAGCTGAGTAGCTCAGTTGGTTAAGAGCGTGAGCTCTGAGCAACAGGGTCGCGGGTTCGATTCCCACATGGGCCAATGAGCTGCGTCCAAACTGAGCTGCCCACAGGTGGCAGGATGGCTCAGGTGGTGACAGCACGTGCTCCTAATAACAAGGTTGCCCGTTCAACTCCCTCATAGGATGGTGGGCTATGCCCTCCGCAACTAAGATTGAACATGGCACCTTGAGCTGAGCTGTTGTGAGCTGCCGACAGGCGGCCGGACGGCGACTGGACTTGGAGATGACCTAGCTGCGCCCTCTACAACTAAGATTGAAGGACAACAACTTGGCTGTTCCCCTTCCCCAATTCCCCAATAAAATCTTAATAAAACAAACAAAAAAGGAAAACAGTTTATACAGGAAGGCCTGAAACCTTGCAACCAGACCAAAGTGAATGCAGAATCCCAGCTACTTCTGATTCTTTATCTATATCTGGGAGTTTCATGTTCTTTTGTTTATCTCTCAGTAAAGAAAAGGCAAGGATTGTTTCTATCCCATTTCTTCAATCTTTTGCCCTATGGATCTCAGTATCTTTCCTCAGACTCTTCAGTCATCTAATACTAAAATAGCAAAAAAAGCTGTAAAACTCAATTGTTTTTCCCCCCACCATGGATAGCACTTGTAGCATGCCTTTAAAAGACTACAAAACTGTAACTATCTAAAATAATCAAATTAAAAAACCCAGGCTCTCCGGCCGGCCTAGTGGCTCAGTTGGCTAAGAGCTCGCTCAAGAGTTTGATCTCTGAGCAGCAGGGTCCCCGGTTTGATTCACGGCCCGAGCTGAGCTGCCAACAGTTGGCAGGATGGCTCAGCTAAAAAGGAAAAAAAAAAAACCCAAAAAACCCAGGCTCTCATACTAATCTCCATATTGCAAAAAGTGACAAGTTTCAGGGAGAAACACTGCACACAGAAGAAAAAACAGCACTATCTTATTTCACCAAGACTAGCCTTCTCACCTTCTCAGAAAGGCAAGGGAAAGAAAAAAATTTTAAGGAAAAGAAACTAATGGTCCCTCAAAGGAAGAGCAACAATGGCCAGGGCAAAATTAGTGTTTTCCTATCACCAATTAAAAATGTTTCTTATAAACAGAAGTTTCTCCTCTGTATGTATCCAAAGATATATTTCACCAGTATATTCCAAACTGGATTTTTTAATAAAAATCCAAACTGGGTTTTTTTCATCCAGAATGAGAATATTTGTTGAAAATTTTCCAGAAGCACCCAAACTTAATGTTCAGTCAAAAGATAATCAGAAACAAGGCTAATAGAATAAGCTGAACTGAAAAAAGTAGAGAGACCCTATAGATTGTCATCCTAACTTAATTTTCCATATTAGTTATTTCAGAAATAATATAAAATATTCTAATGAAACTTTCTAATACTGAGTACTTTTCAATATGGAAGGCTATCATTTCAATGAATAAATATTTGTTCTCCCAGCACAGCAAACAAAAGGGTGAACACGAACTGTCTGGGTCTAAATAATGGTTTAAAATCTGAGAATAGTACATGGAAGACAATGACTTATAAATTAGTTTTAGAAATATTAAAATTAAGAATCCTTCTACCTTAAAATATATTACTTCAGTAATGATAGTGAAAGTTTCAGAAGTTAACTTCCTAAGTTGGCAGGCATGAAGCTCAAGCTACAAATTTTTAGCTGGAAAAATATGACACCTTTTTTCTTGCTGTTAAATTTTCTCAAAAATACTATTACACACACACACACACACACACACACACACACACACTTAAAAATAGCTTAATACATTAATGTACAGGTGCTTAAAAGTGAATTGAGCTGCCAGGTGAGTGGAAGGAAATGTTTAAGAAAGAGAAAAAGAATGTTTAGGGGAGAATTGAGTGATTTAGTTCACAAGAGCTAGGTATAGGCAAATGATATGGTAATGCGAGTATTTATTTCCAGCTTACATTTGGTGAAAGACAGTCCAAATTCCAAGTATCATTAAGGAACCACATGAAATACAGAGAAATATATTCCCAAAAATGTACACTTATATATTCTGGTTTGGTTGCATGTAACTCCCAAATGTTTAAGGGCCTGCATCAGCTCTGCAAGTTTACAAAAGGAAAGTACTCAAGTAAAGATATGAAAGCTGATTATGCCTAGAAAAAAAACAAAGCTCTTTTTTCTTTACAAGTTGAGTTTTGCTTTCAGTACTAAAATTAAGACCAAGATTATATACAAAAACAGTATCAAGTGAATAATTATGTCTTGGAGAGCAGAAACTTCAAAACGATGACTATAAAAGACAATAAGTACAATGAATTCTATGCATCAAACTGTAGATTAGATAGAAAAATTGCTAATGTCCTTAGGCTATTTACTAATTGACCAAAATGTCAGAACGAGTGATTACATTTTGGCTTAAGTGAGTAATTTGGTCACTTTTATGAATGAACTCTTGTTATCCAAAGATTATTTTTTGATACTCAACTTTTTAGGTTAAACATTAGGTCCTATCCTAGATAAGACCTTTAGTTTCTATTATGACATTCTTTGGTTCCAGGCATTTCTGAAATGAGAATAATAGCACCAGGATAATATCACAATCTCTGTAACATTAGCAAAAATGGACCACAATTACACTCCATCCTGAAATATTTTATATACCAATGACTACAAAGATGACAACATGGTTCTATTTAACAATGAAATTAAACATCTCCTTTAAAACTTTCATAGTCTATAAAAAGTTTATGAATCAAAAATTACTTAATGTGTCAGACACCAAGTAAATTTGTTTTAGGTTTTTTTTAAGAGACTCTCCTTGAAAGAACAACTAGTTCATTCAACTTTACATGTGAGTAGACGGAATCTAGTGTCTGTACGTGAAAAGTTCTCAATGGGTACTGATGAACTGATAGCATTAATTTGTGACACATTATCAGGATCAAGAAGTCTTGAGAAACAAATACAGCAGCTATAATAAATCACTAATTCAAGAATGATATGCACAGTATGTCCTTTTATAAGCTATTTTAAAACTCCCACATCAACACTACAAGTTTCCAGAGTCAAGCATGCGATGAAATGGTGAATGCTGAATTTTATGTTGGTGGTTATCCCTAGGCAGAGAGTGAGTGCAACAGCATCAGGGAGTCATACAAAAGTGCTCAAGTGTTCTTATTTGGATCTAAACCAAATGTTTTAATGTTAACTCTGATAAAACAGGGCAATGGGCATGAATGTTCATTACATTATTCTCTTGTCAGTCTATTTGCATTTTAAAAAAAGAAAACATCAGACTTTTTTGCAGGAACAACTGATGAATCAACAGTATTTAACAGCTAATTATCTATTTTATGAACATCATTCACTAAAAGATCAATGACCTATGCATCTTTTTTTATAATTTCAATATATAGTTGTAGTATTTTCTTATTTAGATTTTTAATAAAAAATGGGTTTCCATTTTTCTTTAAGAGTTAAAATTTATTTGGGGAAATGTCTATTAGAAATAAATTGCCTTATATTGCCTGATTTAGTCAAAGCTGCTTGAAATTCTAACCTTTTACCATAAATCACTAATTGCATATCAACACAAAGTGCAAAAAATAGCTGATTAGTAAAGTCACAAGAATTTTGTTTATTATTATAGCAAACACTTTCATGGCATTTAACAGAACTCAGAACTATTTCTTTGGAAAGGGTTCATATCTATGAAACTAAGCCAGCCAGGATGAAGTCTTTATTCGAAAAAAAAAAGAAAGAAATTAAGCAACCAAAATGTATTTCACATAATAGCAAAATATAAAAATAGAAGCAAAATGTTAAGAATGGCTAAGCAATGAATTTAAGAAGCTTTGATTCTATCCATCTGACTTGTTGCTAATGGTCCTCTTTGTCCTTCCGTTGTTACATATGTAAAACAAGTATGATGATAATTGAAGAATGGCCTTGTAGGACTTACTAGGAGGTTAAAAGGAATTACTGGAAAAGTGTTCAAATTCTTCAGAAATACTATTAACAAAAATATTTATTTTATTATACTTTTTGTCTTCTTTCAGTGAAAGTGTCCTTTTAAATCAGACTGTTTTTAACATTGTTTCAAACTCTCAAAAAGAGAGATGTTAACTTTCTTTCAAAGTGATATTCTCAGTGTATCACAATATTTCTGATTAAGAAAGATAATATTAGAACTGTGCTGCCAGAGGAAAAAAGAGAGAATTGCAGCACAACTGGTAAAGTTCCTAGACTTAGTTCAATCAAGTTATGGACCATCCAAATGACATATTGTGTTACTCCCGTACTTTCAAGTATCATTTTGAAAACACAGTCTCAGTGTGAGACTTCTTACATAAATAGAAAGACTATAATTTCTGTAAACATTTGCAGTGCCAGCTATTTCTTTGAATAGACTTTTTTCCCCTTAAGAGAGCTGCTCCAGTGAAGAATCATCTTACGCATCCATGTCCAGACTCAAAAAGAAACGCAATATTTTTCTGTGAAAAGACAGAAATACCCAAGCAATGTGAAAGCTTTCTGTAACCAGGGATGGCCTACCTATTCCAAGCATGTAATCACTCCCTATAGATTCCTGATGAAATTAAAAAGTTCTCCGGTTCCTCATAGCTCGTCAGATGTGTTGTTCACCTTTGGTAATTCACACTCTTGACCGGTATGACAGTTCTGAAGGATGTCCTTGTAGTGGTTCTTCAGATCCTCATACAAAGAAACAGGTTTTTGGGAGTGAGCCAATGGTAACACCTTTTCATTCAGTAACATCTGCACTCGGAATTCTTCTTTAGGAGTCTCAGCATTTTTACAATGGTAAAGCACAAATATGAGGTTTGAGGCATAGGGTACAATGTGACCACTTCGGAACTTCCGATACATTTGTTCCTTGTAATTGTAAGCTGTTAGTGGCTCCTTGTCTTTGAAGTAGCCCATGAGAGAAAGCAGTGGAAGAAGGGTCTCTGCATGCCCAAACTGAAGGATGACTGGAGAGGAAACTGGCTGAGACCTTAAACAAGAAAAAAAATGTATATATATTCATGTCACAGAACATAATATCTACACTCAGAAGCGGTTTACAAGTTTCTCATCTCTTAAAATCTTTTTATACATAACTCAACAACATGGCTGAAATTCTGTGTGGTGGAGAACTAAACTTTTTATACTAAAAGTTAAGTTCCAAAATTCAGATCATTGTAGTATTGCAAATCCATAAAACAGTGTGCATACACATTATTCTTCAAGTTTAAAGAGAGTAGAGTCTTTCCTTGTAAAGAACTTGAAGCAGATATATATTTCAAAACTGTACTGCCATTCTGTGAATGAAATTGAGCAAGCTGGCCATGAGTAAACACTGATCACTCCATGGAGCTCTTCTGAACTTCAAATGTTATTTTATCTATATCTAGGGATAAAGATGATCAATATTCAGTAAACTATTCAGTTAAAGTCAAATGTGAAAAGTGAATAGTAATTCATGCACTCCTCCAATGTCTTACAAAGACCTGACTTGGACACCAAATCAAAATAGAGTCACAAAAGGGTAGAGGTATAACTTATTCTAGCTACTATACTGTGTCTAGGGTTGGGAATACAACAGTTTTCAACACCATTAGCTAAATCACCTTTTTCTTTTTTTCTCAAGGTTTCTGTGATTTTTTTCTGGTAAAGCCTTTTAAAAAATAAATAGCAGCAAATGACTGCCTAGCCTTTTCCCAACTTTTATAGAAAGGATATGACTATTGTTTTCAAATATAATTTGTAAATCTATTGAAAACATAAGTAACCATCTGACTTCTTCTCATGACCCTATGCGTTAGCTTACAAATTTAGTGCCTCTGGATTTTCTGTGAGAACAGCATTTACAGCGGTTTTTCAACCTTCCTCATTTCCCACATAAAAACAGATGGAGCAACTTAGCAGCTGAAATTGGGAAGGGTTCAGCCCACTCTAGTATTAGGTGAGTGCCAGGGAGGATAACCACTAGGCCTCTTCTGAGGCTGAAGAAATCTAGCCCCTGTGAACTCTCAAAATAGCCATCCAGGACAGAGGCCACACTAAGGAGAAACTGCTCAGAGTGGGGTCAAGACTAAGCGGGACAAGGAGAGCAGAGATAAAGCAGAGTAGGTCCAGATAAAAGTGGGGGTAGGGGACTAGAACCAGGAAATCTCAGAAAGCAGAGAATCTCAGAAAGCAGAGGCTGAAGAAATCTAGCCCCTGTGAACTCTCAAAATAGCCATCCAGGACAGAGGCCACACTAAGGAGAAACTGCTGAGAGTGGGGTCAAGACTAAGCGGGACAAGGAGAGCAGAGATAAAGCAGAGTAGGTCCAGATAAAAGTGGGGGTAGGGGACTAGAACCAGGAAATCTCAGAAAGCAACCTACCGTATTTCTGAACAGTACACACACACACACACACACACACACACACACACACACACACACACGGGACTCTGTGAGTCAGAAAGCAACCTGACATAAGTCTTCTTCTAAATGTTCAGGAAAGCTAAATACACATTAAAATGAGCAACAGAAAAGCAAGAGAATAAGGAGAAGAAAAACATCTCTATAGAAAATAAAATTATATTAGCTAGATATACATGCTAAAAAAAACCCCATAAAAACTGTAACATACTATTTCACAATTATCCACTATTTTGAGATTCATATTCTCTAAAAGGTGTTAAATTTAAAAACTATTCATCAACAGGTGATTGTAAGCCTCTCTTCTTAACTGGTGTACATTAATTAGGTCACCTAAAGTACCTGAAACCTACATTTATTTCCAAGAAGCATCCCCTTAGGTCTGAAGTTACAAAGCAGTACCATTCAGACCACAGCTATATTTGGTTTGACCTGTATAGATTTTTTCAATTTTGCATCATGTGTCAGTTATTTCAAAATTGGGAGAGTTCAGATTGTTAATAATCCAGATTTTTGGCTTCTCTTGAAAAACTAAAAGATCTGGCAACGTATATTCCCATAAGGCAACAATCAGCTGAACAGACATGTGGGTTACCCTCCAGAAAGGACATATACCTGTTGCCCAGAACATACATCACTTCATGTTGTCTAACAAAAGATGGATTCATTCATTTGTTACTTGCCTGGCCCCTTTATACATTTGAGTATATGCAAGCCAAAGCTAATACCACTGTCATAATGTAAATATAACAGAAATTAATAGTGATACAAGTTAAAGAAAACCAAGTGGTAAAAATATTTGTTTACAGTTGAAGTCCTCTAGCCATGAGGTAGTAACTTCAAAGCCAGGAACCACCCTAAAATCAATGCTCCCTGTGAGATGTAGCAGGATATACAAGATGTCAGGAAGAAAGCAACAATACCCCCATTTTCTCACTGAAAGACTTAATGGTAACTCTCTCCTCTTTTCCTCACCAAAGAGCTCTAATAAACTGGGGACAAGATATACGAAATATATAATACAAAATACTCTAGTTTCAACATTAACATAAAAATTATTATCCATTTTACATTCTGTTTTTCTACCAGTCTTCAAAATGCAGTGTGTATCTTACCCTTACAGCACACCTCAATTCAGACCAGCCCCATTTTCAAGTGCTGAATGACCACGTGTGGCTGGTGGCTATTCTATTACATCGGAGAGCATGGGATAGACAGTGGTGTGGATAGCCTTACATACTTGGATTCAAAGTCAATCAAATAAAGAGAAAATATAAGGAGAGATAAGACAAATTAACATACATTAAAAAAAAAATGTGTTCCGGGGGAAGGAACGAGACCAACAGGGCTATGTATAAATAATAAGAGTTCAAAGTCCCATTAATTACATCTAAGCTACAGAAGAAATCAAATCTAGGCTGTGACGCAAATTTAAGTTTCAAATCTGAAGGTTCCTTAGGTTTATATAAAAGCAATAAACTCCATTTTTTCTTTTGACTGCCTTACTGTTAGTCAGGTTAAAATTAGCTATTTTTGAGAAGTTAAAGAAAACTATATTTTAAAAATGTTTATTGGGAGTTTTATGGGAAATCAAGTAAGTTTATATGTTAAGATTTACACAGGGGGCTGGCCAAGTGGCGCGTTGGTTAAGAACTGGCTTGGGACACCAGAGGGTCCCGGTTTGGATCCCACATATGAGGGCCAGTGACACTGCCCTCTACAGCTAAGATGCTGAACAACAGCTCAACCTGGAGCTGGGCTGCCCTGAGTCGCCGGTGTCGGCATAGGCTGCAGCCCCTGCTGCAGTGGGTTGCCATGGGCTACCGTGTGTAGCCAAGCAGCCAACGTGAGCAGCAGTCCAGAGGCCGGCGACTTATCTGACTCTCCCAGGAAGAGCACAATGATGGTGCCAGCTTGGGCCAGTGAAGCAACATCCTCCACAACTAAGACTGAAGAACAAAACAACAGCAACTTGCCTGTTCCCCTTCCCCCGACTCCCCAATTAAAAAAAAAAAAAAGATTTACACAGGAAGCCATATCAATATCAAAAAAGCAACTGTTCAGTTGACACATCTAAATTAAAAAAACAAACAAAAAACTCTTAATTTTAGAATTCCAGGCAATTTTCATTCAATAGGAAAGAAAAGTGCAATTTTTAAATAAATGCCAATGACTATTATCTTCTTATACAGATCAATCGCTATTACAGAAGCTTGCAACATACAAAGAGGTCTGGTTAAATGCACCAAATAATAATAACTTAAGAATAACTACAGATTATAGGGTCAAAACTCATGAAGCCTTCCCCAAAAAGATCTAAAAAAACTAAAAACACTAGTTTGCTTAGAAATCCAAATGTGCTTGTAGGAAATAATGAAAAGTTACAATCTTTTGTAGGTTAGATATTTCTGTAATAACCAAATAAAAATATTTTAAGCTTATGAGATAATGCCCAATACAAAGGAGAAATAAGCACAATTTCACTTGTGATTGTTTTTTATTTGTCTAATGTACTCTTTGTGCCTTAAAGTGTCTTGCACACATAGTATAATAGATGCTGTTGCAACTTTGAAAAAAGTAGCTGGCTGATGTTGCTTATATTCGTACAAAAAAAGGCCCTGGAAAAATGACTGCTGCCCCCAATTTTCCAAAACATAATAAAGAAGACGTCAAAGATCCATTTGGTTATTTTGTTTAGATGTGACAGATGCTAACATTTCTGTCAGGTACCATGCTAGCTTCTTTTTTTTAGGAAGGGAGGAAAGATGACAAAGGGAGAGAAAGGTATAAGGTGAAAGAACAAAAATAAATTTCTGGCTCTTGCAGATTAGCCAATTGTCTAAATGTTAGGGGAACTCAGAGATGGACAGCAAATCCTTCTGCCTGGGATAGAATTGGATAGGATTTGCTGAGGAAGTGGTGTTTGAGTTGGGTTATGAATACATTTCTAGTTAAGTCTTACGATAGAAATGCTGCCCATTGTAGCCTTAGGAAAGTGTGATAGTTGGTTTATCCTATGATATTAACACCCTTTTTTTAGAGATGAAAAACCTGAGGTTAACTTACTTGCCTAAGTTATCTTTGAAGCACCAATTGAACTCACTAGAAAAATATCATCCATTAAATTCATGGGTGTAGTTTAATGTAAAAGATTAACCTAAATCCTTTCAAAAAACATTAATTGCCGTCAGCCTGACTCATAAGTTCAATTTTTCAAAGAGTTTTTGTGAAGCAAGGCAATACCTGAAATTATTCAAAAATAATCTTTTAGATTGAACTTGAATATAGGCATACCATAAATCAAGTTTCACGAATATAATTTACACACATAAAAAATTCACTTGGAAAAATCTTAATGCTCTCTTGAATAAAAAAAAATCTTTGTACATCTGGACTGGAGCAAATAATTTAGGAATTTAGTCACCTAAGTTTGCTTTTAAACCACTGCTGATTTAAAATCATTTCAAATCAAATCTGTTTTTATTTGGGCACAGAAACACAGCATTTCTTCATATTAGCTAAGGAAAACTACATTCTTAGTGCTAGGTAACAAGGCTCCTGGCATGCTGATTGATTTGAAGTGGC